GAAAACTGCGATATTTTAGTAACTACTGAAGATTATTCACTCAAAATTGATATTTACAATAATTTTTAGACGAAAAATAAGAATATTGTACATTTTTGGAAAATGGGCGTAGCCACGCCCACTTATGGATACATGTGTATAACTTGGTAACCGCTGTACCAATTTCTTCCAAACTTGGCACAGTTGTTAGCCTTGCTACGGCATACCAAATGGCCGAAAATTTTTAAAATCGGACAATAACCACGCCTACCTCCCATATAACGGTAATTTGGAGAAATACGAAATCTTCGATAAATCAGTAAATATTAGGGCTAATTTACTCAAAATTGATGCTTGCAACAATTCTTTACCAAGAAATACGCTTATGATAAAATTTTGGAAAATAGGCATGGCACCGGCCATTTATGATCACATATATGTATCTCGGTCACCGTTCTACCAATTTGTACCAAACTCGGTATGATTATTGTGCTTGCCACATAGAAGCAGATTAAAATTACGACCACTTTTCATATAACGGCAAATTTCAGAAATGCTTGAAACTTCAATATTTCGAAATTTAAGGACACTAATTTACTCAAAATTGATACACACCGGCTTACCATGTAGCGGTACCTGCGCCGGGTATTTAATGTTCGGCTCCGCTCGAACTTAGACTTTCTTACTTGTTTTGTATAGAAACCCCGTGTGTTTGGTCTGCTTTGGCCAGGGGCGGCGAAACGCCCTATGTCCGGGTGGGTAGTTCTGCTGTTAGCAAGAGTATACAAGTAAAGAAAATAGGTTGTCGATGTAATTGAGAAGGTTTCGTCAGAAAAACTTATTGTTTCGTGCATAATACATTTATTTTTCATTCATACTAAGTAAATAACCTGCAGAAAAATATTATCAATTGATTAAAATAACCAACCTAACTAGATGTTTTGCGGGATTTCGATAAATAAAAAGACTTTTAGTTAGCTATGACCTAACTAACTTTAAGTTAGTTGTTAAGTCGCGCAGGAGTCTGCATCATATCGGAAGTCTGTTTTCTTTACAAGTTTCTATTTAAATATCCTAAATATCCAAGTTTCTATTTAAATAAAAATTACTTTCAATATACTTTTTTCTGCACTTCGCAGATTCTTTTTCGTATTCAGGACAAATAAAATAAAGGTCGAAATTTTATGTTACCATTTTGATGTTATGTCTGATCGAATTCAAATATGAGAATACCTGCAAAAGAACATGTGAACAAATAAGCAAATATGTAATGTTAAATAAAATAAATAAACAAATAAAAATTAAAAACACTTAAATAATCTTTTTTTATTGATAGTTTATGTCCAAAAGCAGTTAGCTACAAGTTAGTTGAGATCCAATACAGAGGAAACCAGTTCTCACCAGTTTGCGGTCATCGCCTTTCAAAAGTAGTTAGTTACGGTAAAAAAAAGTTAGTAAATAGTTACCAGTAGTCGACTACACTGCTAGTTAGTTAATGGTTAGCTACAAACTAGTCACATTTCCTGCAGGGTTGCTTTTAGATATAATTCATAGACGTATACTTGAAACCAGGGTTGTTGCGAATATTCGCATTCGCAACCACGGAGCTTCCGCCTTAATTTTAACAATCGCATTCGCTTTAGCATTCGCAATCATCAATGCGGAGCTTTTGCGAATGCGAATATTGTGCAAGAACAGTGATAAAACGTATATCAGACAAACAAAATGACAAATTGTCGCCATTTTTTTTTGGAGATGCTACATTAAGACTGTTCCCGTACGTCCCGATTCTTTTGTAATTTAAAGTCAATGAGTAAGATCCTTCAATAGGTATTTCCAGCGGAAATGTTCCACTTCTAGCTATAAAGAGAATCGACTATTCGTCCGGTAAAAGATAACCTTTAATTAGGTAAGAATTATTTAACTATCAAAAATTATTTGTCAAAGGCATATTGGAAATACTGAATGCATCGCTAGTTTTCCTTCTACTTTTTCTTAGAAAAGTGGAATAATTATTTTTCATAAAACGGCTTCTTATGATTAAGTTCCGTGTTTTCTTTTATTACTTAGCAGAAAAACATACCAAATAATTTTGACCGGTTTTACTATGCAAATACTCATCTGTGCACTCGAAAACAACAACACTGATTTTAGATTTGTGATAATTGTCAAAATTTGCACGCAGCGAAATAAAAATAAAAGTTGACAGCCAAGTTCAGAAATCAAATAAGAATCAATTCAAGGCGAATTTAATATCTAATGCAAAATGAATTAGGCACACTAACACATTCTCACTTTTAGCTCACGCTTGTTTGTGGTAGTGCCCACCTCTGATTATGACGCATTTCATCGAATCATCAGTT